ATTACATGTTTTCTTTCTTTTTTTTTTTTTGTACCAGGGATCAAACTCGGATCCTTGCATTTGCAAGACAGACGGCAGAACCACTGAGCTAAATCCCTGGCCCTATTACATGTTTTCTTTTCATTTTTCTTGAATTAGCCAAATTCAGTACAATGTCACATGAAAATCTACTTTTACAACTTTGAGACAAGGTTAAAAGTGAGTTGTCAGGTGATTCAGCTACCAATGATGACTTGGATCATGTAAGCCAAAGTTAGCAAGATATGACAAATATAGAAATACAGAATGAAGACTTTAATTCAGTTGAAGAAAAAAACAGGTAAATAAATATTTGACTAGTTGAGATGCTACAAAATGGTCATGTATACCTGAATGATCCAACATTAGAACTACGTAAGAAAATGTTATTAGTTTCTTGCCAGGGGTGAAACCTATTGGACAGAATGTCAACTCTGCAATTCAATGTTGGAAATTATTTTTAATGGATGATATGCTACAAGATGTTTTGAAATACACCTATAATGAAATACAAGTAAAACATCATATATACATCAGTAGTGTTAGACAAAATGGCCACAGGGAGGTCTGTTACTCAAAATGGTGCCCTGCTTCTCCTAAACGGATCATTTCCTCTTGGGATGGCAGAATTAAACTCACCACCCTGCCCTGCTACTCATCCACCAATAAGTTTAAACTCCATCACCTGCCCCAGCAATACAACCAATCCTCAACCCCCACGATGCTCTCCCATCATACAACCCTTTATAAACCTTCCCTCAATAAAGTCCTTCCTCAGCTTGATTTCTTTCAAGTAGTAATACTCGAAAATATATTTATCATGATAGCTCACTATTTGAACTAAAAGCCTTCATAGCAGGACTTTATTCTAATTGTTAAATTCTAAAAGATTTATGAAAAAGTGACAGATGTGGGGTTGAGATTTTTAGAACAATAACAACACTCAAGAGATTTGGTTTCTTTCAAAATTGTCTACATTTCGATGATAAAAAGACCCACCAAATCCAACAATTTGGCTACTTTTTGCTCATTTTTTAAAGCTTTGTTTCAAACTGTCAAGCAATTTATACATTGTCTGAATACATGACAATTGATAAACAACTTGCATCATTTTGTGGTTGTTGAAGATTTCATAAATGTGTGCCAAATAAACCTTCCAAATATGGTATAAAAAGTTATGTGCTGGTAGATGTGAAGATATTTTACACCTTAAAGTTAGAAATTTATCCTGGAATTCTGCCATCAGGTCTTTATTCATATACTAATAAAGTGTACGACTTTGTGAACAGACTTGTTGCACCTATTTCAAAAAGTTACCCAGATGTCACATTTAACAATTGGTTTATGAGTTACCCATTGATGTTACATTTGCTTAAAAAAATACCAATTGACCAGCACAGGAACTATTCACAAGAACAAAGTGGAGATTTCTGAAAAAATGTTGCAAGTTCACAAGTATTCACAATAGAGAAATGTACAGTACAATGTTTGGATTTCAGAAGGATATAACATTGGCCTCCTACCTGGTGAGGAAAAGCAAAGTAGCATTGATACCCTCAACATTACACCACAATGATAAGATTCATAGTGAAGCAGGGCATGGTGGTCCATGCCTATAATCCCAGCACTCAGAAGGCAGAGGCAGGAGGATTCTGTGAGTTCAACAGCCAGTGCTACATAGTGAGTTCAAGGATAGCCTGGACTACTAGGGAGAGAGACCCTGTCTCAAAAAACCAACCAAACAAAAAAGATTGATAGTGACTCCTCAATACTCATGAATCCAGAAATGGCCACATTTTACAACAAAATGAAAGGCAGAGTAGATGTTGTTGACAAGTTATGCAGCAACTATGATGTCACTTGAAATTCTAAGTGTTGGCCAGTGGTTGTGTTTTACTCAATCCTAAACATGTCAGACATAAATAGTTTCAGAGTTTACACAGAAAATAACAAGCACAAAATATCATGGAAGAATTTTCTTAGACAATTGAGACTGGAATTAATAAATGATCAATTACAAAAAAAGAAAGAATAATACGTATCTGCCCAAAGAACTCCATGAAAAAGTTCTGGAACAGACCAATAAGAAGACAGACAAGGGGCTGGGGATTTAGCTCAGTGGTTCTGCTGCCTGCCTTGCAAGCTCAAGGACACAAGTTCAATCCCTGGTGCCCAAAAAATAAAATTAAATTAAAAATTAAAAATTAAAAGACAGACACGTGAAAAACCTAAGAAAATAGGAAGGCCAGCAAGACGTCAATTATATCTTACCAAAGAAGACAGGAAAAAAACAAACAAACACATGAGCTATCAGTGTGATACTTGTGTATGGAACATGATGTTCTCGTTTGTGAAAACAACTTTAGGTATGATAATTGAAGTACAGATTATTTTTGTGGTAGAGTTTTATTTGTATTTTTATTGTAGTTTTCATAGGAATTTATTTCTGTTGTTACTTTTTAGATTTAGTAAGCAAATAGTTGATATAGAAAATGGTGTTTATTATTACTTATTATATATTTGATATTTTATTTTATTGGTATTTCATTTTCTTGGTAAGTGCACAATGTAGAACATAACTCACTATGTATCCCAGGCCATCCTCAAACTCAGGGTGACCCTCCTGCCTCTGCCTCCTAAGTACTGTGATTACAGGTGTGTGTCACCATGCTTGGTGAAGCAAAGATTATTTCTGTTGTAAAATTTTTTTGCTCTTGGTGGGGGGCAGTTGAGACAGGGTTTCACATAAACTGACCTGGAACTCACTATGTAGCCCAGGCTGGTCTCAAACTCACAGCCACCCTGCTGCCTCAGCCTTCCTAGTGCTGGGATTACCAGTGTGTGCCACCACAACCGGTTTAAATATTTATTTTATTTTTTATGGGGTTTTTTGGCACTGGGGATCAAACTCAGGTCCTTGTGCTTACGAGGCAGGCAATGGAACCACTGAGCTAAATCCCC